TTGCAGATCTCAAATAGGATGTAAATGAGCAGCACAAATAACCTTTCTGCATGGAAATTTAGAAGTTTCATGTATGATGATGCTTGTTTGCACCAGTTCATTACATTTCATATTATTTACAGAGCAGCATGATTCAGGTTGCCATGTTGCTGGATCTTGAGGGGAGCAGCCAGATCCCTGATGCACCCATAGGTGGGGGTGTTGGCCCCAAAAATGGTATAGGAGGGGGCCATGTGAGGTATTGAATAGAAGCTTATTATCTGATAATCCTATGTACGCCGTTCTGGTGTTTGTATAATGTCTGTGTGTGCAATTATTAGCATGTACTTGTATGGACACTGAAGATTTCCCTGCATGTGGTTAAGCATTGGGCAGGGCCGGGCCTGTGGACATGTTAATTACCGAGGCCCTGTAGGACAATGGCTCTCAATGGGCCAAGGACACACCTAAAGGATGGGGGCTGACACCTGAGAGCAGCCAGCAGGGAACACAGAGATTGGCCTCTGTCCAGGTGACCTGCTACAGCCAAGAAGGGACCAGGAAGGAAGTATAAAGAGGCCATGCGGTCGATGCCATTTTGTTCTCAGCTGAGCACTTCATCCCAGAGGCAGCATTGCAGGGGTGTAAGAGCCCGGAAGACCTGTGAACCCATCCTGATGCTAGGATGTGCAACAAGAACTTTTAAACCAGCAGCTGTAACATGTCTGCTAAAGCCTGCATCGAGAACTGGGAGATTCGGTGCATGTAACGTACTGTACTTTAATAACCTTACTCTCAGGCTTTTCTTTCTTGTAATAATAAACCTTTAGATATAGATTCTAAAGGATTGGCCCAGCGTGATTTGTGGGTAAGGTCCAGAGGGTAAATTGACCAGGGATCTGTGGCCGGTTTCTTGGAACCGGACAGAACTTGTTCGGGGTAGGTGGGATTGGGTGCTAGGACCCCCCACCTGTGTATGGTGGGGTGTCGGAGGGGTTTTGCTCATGAGGCTTCAGGCAGGCAGCTGAAGCGCTCTGTGGGACTGATTTGTGGCCTGTTTGGAAAGGTCACCAGTCTGGGGACTGTAAGGAGCCCCGAAGTTGAGCAATTCGCCCTGAGCGGACGCCCTCAGCTGTGCCCAGACATGGCCCGGTCCGTCACACAGGTCCATAACCTTGTTCAGTGTTTCTTTCTGATCTTGTTTTGTTGAGCCCAATAGACATTACAGCAAATACACATACATAATTCTGACTGACATGCATTCACTGCTTTGTTTCCATCCTATCTCCAAAATATTCTCCTAAGTATTCATGTATCTCATCATGCCGTTATGTACATAATGCAGCAATGGCTAGAATGTTCCGGGCATTCACAGACAGACCAGCAGGGGCGCACTGCACAGACACACCCAGCAGGGGCACACTGCACAGACAGATCCAGCAGGGGCACACTGCACAGACACACCCACTTTGAGCAGGGGCGCACTGCACAGACACCCCCAGCTGGGGCGCACTGCATTGACACACCCCTCTGAGAAGGAGCGCACTGCACAGACACCCCCAGCAGGGGCACACTGCACAGACAGATCCAGCAGGGGCACACTGCACAGACACACCCACTTTGAGCAGGGGCGCACTGCACAGACACCCCCAGCTGGGGCGCACTGCATTGACACACCCCTCTGAGAAGGAGCGCACTGCACAGACACCCCCAGCAGGGGCACACTGCACAGACAGATCCAGCAGGGGCACACTGCACAGACACACCCACTTTGAGCAGGGGCGCACTGCACAGACACCCCCAGCTGGGGCGCACTGCATTGACACACCCCTCTGAGAAGGAGCGCACTGCACAGACACCCCCAGCAGGGGCACACTGCACAGACAGATCCAGCAGGGGCACACTGCACAGACACACCCACTTTGAGCAGGGGCGCACTGCACAGACACCCCCAGCTGGGGCGCACTGCATTGACACACCCCTCTGAGAAGGAGCGCACTGCACAGACACCCCCAGCAGGGGCACACTGCACAGACAGATCCAGCAGGGGCACACTGCACAGACACACCCACTTTGAGCAGGGGCGCACTGCACAGACACCCCCAGCTGGGGCGCACTGCATTGACACACCCCTCTGAGAAGGAGCGCACTGCACAGACACCCCCAGCAGGGGCACACTGCACAGACAGATCCAGCAGGGGCACACTGCACAGACACACCCACTTTGAGCAGGGGCGCACTGCACAGACACCCCCAGCTGGGGCGCACTGCATTGACACACCCCTCTGAGAAGGAGCGCACTGCACAGACACCCCCAGCAGGGGCACACTGCACAGACAGATCCAGCAGGGGCACACTGCACAGACACACCCACTTTGAGCAGGGGCGCACTGCACAGACACCCCCAGCTGGGGCGCACTGCATTGACACACCCCTCTGAGAAGGAGCGCACTGCACAGACACCCCCAGCAGGGGCACACTGCACAGACAGATCCAGCAGGGGCACACTGCACAGACACACCCACTTTGAGCAGGGGCGCACTGCACAGACACCCCCAGCTGGGGCGCACTGCATTGACACACCCCTCTGAGAAGGAGCGCACTGCACAGACACCCCCAGCAGGGGCACACTGCACAGACAGATCCAGCAGGGGCACACTGCACAGACACACCCACTTTGAGCAGGGGCGCACTGCACAGACACCCCCAGCTGGGGCGCACTGCATTGACACACCCCTCTGAGAAGGAGCGCACTGCACAGACACCCCCAGCAGGGGCACACTGCACAGACAGATCCAGCAGGGGCACACTG